GTTTGTTTTAGCGTGATTGTTGAAATTAAGTGTATCGTAAAGTTATATTCGAAAAGAATAAACCAGTTTTATTAAGTAAGGACTTGTGTCGCTAAAGTTTCGTCGGAACGAATTTACGGGAAATCAATTAACAAACGGAGACGTAACAATACTTTTCCTCAGTCATGATATTGAGTGGGTCCCAGTCTGTATCAAATGTTTGACTATCATTATAATAACCCAATTGGGTTACTTTTCACTCGTAATACTTAAGTCACTTACCAAATATTTACAGAGATGTCAACTTTTACGTACTGACATAGCCTACATTACAACATAAGACAGTAAAGGGCAGTCTTACGATAATCTGGATTAACTGACAGTGATCCTTCAGCACTGATCCTATATTTATCTACATTTGAAGCATTGCAGCGGTATCTTCCTTCATCTGTAATTTTCACACGTTTGATTTCAAGGGCACCACTTGGTAGGACTAGCATGCGTGAATAATCTATTTGTAAAGACTGGCTATTCTTCTCCCACGAAACACTTGCTGGAGGAATACCCTGAATAACACAAGGTAAATAAGCAGCCTGTCCAGGAAATAAAGTCACATCTTGAGGCTGCTCATCAAATCTAGGTAGTGCTGAAAAAAACAATATGCTCAAATTTTAAATATTTCTTTCATAATACTTACAGAATTTCTGTATTTGTTTAATGTTGCTCAACTACTCACAGACTGGCAGTCATAAATGTCAATGTCACTAAAACACGATTTTTTATTTATAGTTATCGAACAAATAAACTCACCTATTTGGAAAATGTCCAAAATGAAATGCCCTATTAATCTATACAACAACTATAACATGCTGGATACAGTGCTACAAATAATTATAAGCTGGTATAAGGATGAGTAAAATAAGATGTCTATAAAAAAGATATTCAACAAATAAAACTTTGTTAATTATCATATTAGTCTGTAGCTCAGCCCCCTACTGGACTAAAAATAAATTAACAAAATACTAACACTTAAATGCCAATTGCCTTAAATCCCTTACGTAAGAAATGTTCTCGGGAAAAATCTGTGTTTTTTGTATTATGACAAAGCTACTACATTCCCGGATTTTAAACGGCAGCCAATCAGCATCGTCTTACCACCCATCATCATACTAAGAGTTTGATTGTCACTCTTATAACATGACACAGCTAAAAGTCAGGGAAATATGTTGTGGTATTTAAGAGATTAGAACCCGGTTCGCCAGCTCTACCACAGGCCAAATCATCCCTTTGGAGGAATTATGGGTTTATAAACATAAACTTGTAATACGTATATTTTATTAGAAGTCTTTTGTATTTTCATTTTAAAAGAATATCTATAGGGCTTCGAATTATATTTATAATTCATTTTCTGTGACAATCACGGAAAATAAAACAACTGAACTTGATGTCCTGAGTAAGTTAACCCTAATATTACGGTATTTTTTATTTCTGAGTATCGTCTGTTCCATGCTTAAGTTCTCACGAAAATCAATCACTTAAATATTCTCTTTAATAACCTGACTAACCTAGATGTGATAATGATTATTTATACGAGCAGCATAGGAAGGAAGTAAAGGGCATGAATTATTGACGTTACAAATGAATCCACAAAAAGTTACCGATCCTTAGAAAAACCTAAAGTAGATGGCGCTATACAAGAGCAACATATTATTAAAGTTGGTTTAGAAGTAATTAAAATAATTTGGCTATTATTCAGATTTTATCCCTACAACAAGTAATTCAACGTAATAAATTTCGGAAAACTTTATTTTGACAAATAACCCAGTTAATTTGGATAACAAAATTAACTTCAGAATTTATTAAACAATTAACACTGTGATATACTAACATGCTACTTGTAGCTTCGCCGTCCGACTAACAATTGTACCAATTTCTTTGATTGTAGCGAGGCACTGGTAAAGACCTTCGTCAGGTCGTTCCGTCCGCGTGTGATAAACACTACTAAAATATAGGGAACCATTTGACAAGACTGACCTATGGGAAGACAAAATCACAATATTTCATATTCAAATAAAGAGCATGGGAAATGAATACAAGACCTCAGTCAACAAGAAATTTCAGCATTTATTTTAAATCGATTAAAAGTGTTATTTAATTATAACTAAGGTTAAAATAATATAGTTTTTTTCCGTTTCAGAAATGATGCATACAGTTTGTAGAATGTTCGATATTTCTTTACAGTTGTTTTAAACATACAAATAATAATGTTCGAAAAGTCTCGTATCTAAACATATATTACGAAAATGTAATTATTACCTTCTGGAATCGTCTATAAATTCTAAGATCGTCCCTTCTCTCTTCCATTCGATTTTTGGCGGGGGGCGACCCTTAGCCACACAATTCAACGTTGTGGGTCTACCCTTAATTACAATGGTGTCACTGGGTTCCGCCACGAAACGAAAATCCGAAAAACTAGGGGTATCACCTAAAAAAAAAATTAAACAATAAATAATATTGTCTTCAATTTCTTCTTATTGTTATTCAATTTGATTTAAAAAAAAACTCATTTCGTCAGGTAAATCAAATAGCATACGTAAGTCACTACAATTGTTCGATTTCCTGGTGGACAACTTGGTAATTTATTCAATATCATTACTTTGGATAACTTTTTTCTTAACACTTCCGTATTAATGAATTCAACCTCAATATTTATCAGCATAAACTATTTTATGCCCCAAAAATTAATTTTCCAGTATAACATTGAAAAACAAAAACGCTCAAGTTAATTCAAATAATAGAAATAGATCGTATGTTTTTCGTTACATTAATGTACATATACATATATATATACATACATTTTATTGTAGCATGTCATCATCATACAAAACAATCAATATTTAAGATCATACTCTTGGAGCTTCAGTTGAAAAGATTGTTTGTTTGTTTTTTTTTTAACTTCGCGCAAAGCTACACGAGGGCTATCTGCGCTAGCCGTCCCTAATTTAGCAGTGTAAGACTAGAGGGAAGGCAGCTAGTCATCACCACCCAACGCCAACTCTTGGGCTACTCTTTTACCAACGAATAGTGTGATTGACCGTCACTTTATAACGCCCCCACGGCTGAAGGGGCGAGCATGTTTGGTGTGACGGGGATTCGAACCCTCGACCCACAGATTGCGAGTCGAGTTGCCCTAACCACCTGGGCAGTTAAGAAGATAAGCGATACTAAGGTTCAAATGATCTATGTGGAAAAAAATTCGAACAAAACTTCAACGTAAATGTAAACAACGAACGGCGTATGTTTCTAATCAGATAATAAGCTCTATGAATCTGTTCAATCTTCAACTCATTAAATATTATTCAATAAAAAAATATTAATAAACACTTTTATTTTTCAGATCGATTATTTTTTTCCCAATATGTAAAATCGTACTTCCAAATTATTTCCATGTTTTATCAAAGCACTCAATTTTACTCATTCCAAGAGTTTTGTGAAAGTAATAATTTTTACTCAGTTTCACTCTTTCGTCCCCCGGTGGGGCAGCGGTAAGCCTACGCATTTACAATACTAAGATCCGAGGTTGGAATCCCCGCGGTGTACACAGCAGATATCCTAATGTGGTTTTTTGCTATAAAATAACCACGTCAAATCAAACCCAGTGTCTCACGAGCGAAATTATTTTCACTTATTCCCAATGTTTGATGAAGGCAATAATTGTTACTCAATATTTGTGAAATGAATTTCAAAGATAAAAAATATCCTTGTTTAGCTAATATATATGATTTGTCACTCCTTTCTAAAAACAAAACTGGGCTCTAAAAATGACTCAAAACTCCTTTTGATTTTATTTTTAAGCGCGCGCGCGCGTGTGTGTGTGAATTATTTCTAAAGATAAACTCCTAAATACACACACGGTCGTCGAACTTATGTCTGTTTCCGCTTGTGTGTATATTCTGAATTGCTTAGATGTTGGTGTTCTATACTCTACCCAATATTCACGCGGTAAGGCATGCATTTTGTTCTAATTTGATTATTATTTAATGCCAAACTTTAGTTGGGGGAAAAACGAATTACCCTTAGTTTTTAGAAATGGAAATGCCAAACACTACTACAAATATCCAATAAAGTTATGGTGTTAATTCAGCTGAACTGAAGGCCTGGCATGACCTGGTGATCAGTGTGCTCGACTTACAACCTGCGGGTCACGGGTTCGAATCCCGTCACCGAACACGTTCGCCCTTTCAGCCATGGGAGTGTTACAATGTGGCGAGCACCCTAGTGGCACAGCGGTATGTCTGCGGGCTTACAGCGCTAGAAATCGGGTTTCGATACCCATGGTGAGCAGAGCACAGATAGCACATTGTGTAGATATGTGCTTAACTTCAAACAAATAACGTGACGGTCAATCCCACTCTTCGTTAGTAAAGAGTAGCCCAAGAGTTAGCTTGGTGGTGATGTTGACTAGCTACCTTCCCTCTAATCTATCACTTCATGATTATGGACTGTTAGCACCGATAGCCCTCGAGTAGCTTTGCCCGAAATTCAAATAAACACAAAACAAGTTAAACCGAACACAGAAGCATAAGTTAATAGAGCTTATACCATAGAAAAGATTAGAGCCGAATGGTACAGATATTTAGTTCAAGAGATTTAAAAATTTCGTACTGTAAACATCGATAAGAACATAAACTTTATGTTACGACGTTTCTGACTTAAGCACCATTTACTTGCATTAAGTAATTACTATCTTTTTTTATGTTTCAGAAATATGCGCCAAAATGTAAAAGTTAATTATAACTATCTGTGTTTCTCATAGCAGAAAAAAAAACAACCACGTTAATAGTTTCGAGTTACAAAGTGAAGGAGAAACGAAAGAAGAGATATCAATTTTCACTGCTTGAAAGAAAATTTTTCCCAAGAGAGTAAACGAGCAAGTTTTATGCAGGTTCAATGTAGCATGCAGAAATGTTTCTGTCCCTTCTCCGTATCAGTTACGTTTAATTATATTATCCGTATCTTTCTCTACACATCAAGTAACATCAAAACTTGCACTAAAAATTCATCCACCTATACAACATTAAGATTAATTAATTAATTTTTAGTCTTTTACGAAATTACTCGTGTATAAAAAATAAATAAGAAACTGGTGTAAAAATCAACGATTTTTGTCATACGTCGCAGCTCCGTAAAATAAAAAAAAAATGCGTCTATTTCATGAGTACAACGAAAGAACTGATGGCGGGAATGCGCGCGTTCTGCCGTCATATACCAACCATATCTAGCAGAAATTCGGCCAGAAAGCGTGCTTATCAGTCCGTCAACTTCCGCTCCAAAGACAGATAACATGCTACGGAAGCCAAACGAACCTTTTTTCGAAATCAAAGCTTTTCCGCATGCTAAGCGTAAGGAAACAAGTTTAAGACTCTTTCAGGTACTAGAAGTGTGAAATCTGTAAGTGGTTTGAAAGTTCGTGTTTTGGAAATTAAATACAGTTCTCGTTATGCAGTTTTATCGTCAAAGAAAATGTATACACATTTACATGCTTACAAACACATAAGCACACACATATCCATATCTACGTAAACATACATACATTTGAACTGGATACATAGAGTGATCTATCATGTTTTTTGTTTTGTTTTTAAATACCTTAACACACATCAGTGAAACATTCCAGAAAACAATGCAGGTTGCGGTAAAATCATGAAAACAAAGTCATTAATTTGTTTGTTTGAAGTTAAGCACAAAGATACACAATGGGCTATCTGTGCTCTGCCCACCACAGGTATCGAAACTCGATGTCTAGCGTTGTAAGTCCGAAAACATACCGCTGTGCCACTGGGGGGGGCAAGTCATTAAAGTCCGTTTTATTTCACCATACATCTAAATTAATTTAGATATATGAATGATGTTATGACATTTCGTCGAATTCATTATTTTAAATTATACAGCGGACTAACTCTTGTACCTGATGATGACAAAACCTTGTCGAAACGTTGTACATTTGCTGTCATGTTAAACTTATATTAAAGTTTTTCTTCATTACCCATTTAAGCCGTCTCCAGCCATTATTAACTCTTTAATGACTGTATATAGATGTTACTGATTTTCCACCACAGGTGGTATATCTTTGGTTTAGTGACCCAAGCTGTGCTGATGAGCCATTTGAATAAGTGAAACTGCAGTCCACAGCAGAGGGTTCGGCCAATCAAGGAATGTATTAGACTTCTACGTCACAGATTATCTTTTCAATGCCACCTCTGGTAATGCCCTTTTTTTTTTTTTTCGCATACTAAACCAGAATACAATATTAAGGGTTAGGGATATGTGACACTGAGAAGCGGAAAAATTGAAGCGGAAAAACTTTCGTTCGTAAAATCCAGTCAGGCTATTCGAACGATAACTAAGCCTTATTTTATTGGTCTAAAAATGGTCAGCTCATTGTTTGCTGAAGAGGGCGCTGCGGCGTCAAAGATTGGGACACACTACGCTATCTGGATGCTAATATTTCGTGAAAGTGCAAAGATAAAATTATTCCAAACATTCTTTTATTTCAAATAATTCTGTCAGATATGTTTACACGACGACATGAGAGTTTAGATGTGTTTTAATAACGCAAAACACAACACGTTGCCCATTTACTGAATGAAGATGACGAACATTTATGTCTATTTCAAAACCGTTGCCAACAGTTACCCTTTACGTCATCACGTTTTCCACTGTAAACAAACTAAATTGTGAGAATTGCTTTAGAAAAACAAACTCAAGATGTGCAGAAATTCTCATACAGTTTTATGTAAACAAATGTGTTGATGTATGACCCATAGAACTTTCTAGGTCTTTAGCTTTGCATTCATTATTCAACAGTGTTGGTGAACGTCAAGACTGAGGAAACATGGCGTTATTAACAGAGAAATGTAGTGTAAAGCAACCGTTACTAGGCAACAGTCATCAGGCAAATTACGCCTTGATAAGCTTGGCGAGTATGATATTTCTGGTGATGATAATAGCATTAAAGGTCAGGGCTGTTGTTTTTGTTTTTTTTCAGTTTTCTTTTAATCATCCTAGACTTCATTCACCTACAACACTAAAAAAGTTTATATCATTGATTTGGGTTGGTAGTGATTATTTATTGGAATTCAGTCTTTACGGCACAATTATATCATATCTATAAAAGATTTTCATTAAACCATTAACTTATTTTTTCTTCAGTTCATTCCGCTGATACAAGAAATAGGCTCCGATATTTAGGTGATATAGTTATTATATACTACACGTTCGAGAAAAGTATTCGGATGGGATATCTGGAATAAGTTACCTTAACATCGTGACGTTGCTCGAAGCAAGAGGGAGGGGAATGTTCCAAGCCTGCCGCTAGGGATGAAAGAATGCTTTGATACGTACCGACAAATTCTCAGTTTCTTAGACGCTAAAAATTAATAGCAGACAATAAAAAAGCAAGCTCGGGAAATTTAGGGTTTTCAC